TAGGAAGACAATTTGAATCTTCAATCATAATCATACACGTGGCAGTTAGTATTGGTTATTGTGGGTCTGTATAACACTGGATCAGCAAAGGCATGCAAAATGACATGGCTTCAACGGTTACTCATATTTAAATTTAAATTCAAATTCTGGAGGGAAGCCTAACTGCAAATAAGGCAAAGTGGAGCTAACTGTAAGGCAACATGATCAGCAATCATGGAGGGATGGTTCGACGGTTAGAACTGCATTTCGACGGTTGCCATTGAGAAGTATAAATAGTAGAAAAGGCCCCAAAAAGTGCCCCCAGACTCAGATCCAAAAAACCAATTTTATTCTACTTTATTTCCTTTCCAGTTTTTACATTTCTTGTTCTTTACATTTCTATACTTCAGTTCCTGTACTGCATTTCGTTCATAGGAGTAGTTTCAAGTAGTTTGTTGCTGTAAACCTCTACGAGGCTGATTTGGATCTTTGTAAGTCTTTCATTTTACTTAATGAAACACTACATTTGTTCTTCATTTAATCATTGTTTGCTTAATTCTCCTAAACAATGAAAGTCCTCTTCATTGAGGCTGAAAGAACTAAAACACAAGTGTCTGATAATTGGTTGGCAATTAATATTCTGTAAGGACTGATTGATCCTTGCTGGCACGCTCATAATTACAATAATAACCTTTGAAAGCCAAAAAAGCCAACAATTACAATAAGAGGGTTCGTTATTGTTCTATCAACGCAAACTACATACCTTACCGCACTCTAAGATTGATTACACGGCTACTGTAACAAGTATTTAAGTGTTGTTTTCATTAGGAGTGCAACTTGAGTGGGCTCAACATGAGCAATTGGAGCTAAACTTAAATTTTTTTTGGACTTGGGTAAGATATTTTGAATTCGCTACGGACTTGGGGAAAAATTCAGAAAGCCGAAGTAAATTTGGACAAGTTTAGACAAAGACATCAAACAATCCGAACAATTCGAAATCTGAATTATATATAAATATATACAATTATTATTATTATTATTATTATATATAACTAACCTATCACCCGTGCTATGCACAGAATAAAATAATATATTATTTAATAAAAATATGATAATTATATTTAATTTTTTTATATTATGTAAAATAAAAGTTAAATAAAAGTCAGCCAATCGAAATTTTCTTAATTGTTTAAAATTAAGAAAATCAAAAAAATTAGTGTGAGATATTGATCATAAGACTTCTCACTAAAAATCTCATTTACTTATATAAATAGAAGTATAATATTCACTTTATGTAAGTAAAACAATTCACTTTTTTCTTCTTTTCTCGATATGGGATTATAAAATAAAAGTTAAATGAAAGCTAGCCAATGAAGATTTTCTTAATTGTTTAAAAGTTAACAATTGTTTGGGCGAAAAGTTTATTTCAAATCAAGCAATCTTAGTCGTACAATCTTTAATTTATTTCGAATCAAACAAATTTAACCAATATATTTTGATAAAACCGCCAAAATCATAGTTAAACCAGCAAATCAGTCAAACCGAAAATGGTTCACCCTATCTGCTAGGTCAAAGGACTAACCAACTTATACAAAAATTAATTAATTAAAACTTTTAAATTTTATTTTAATTTTAAAATTTAAACTGTCTTGAACTGAAACATACACAACATGTATTAAATGGGAGCATAAGGTTCATATAGCAAAACAACTCATTTTTTCCTCCTTTTTCAGATGTGGGATTTGTAAAATAAAAGTTAACAGTTGTTTGGACAGGAAGTTCATTTCTAATCAAGCAATCTCAATTGTTCAATTTTTAATAAGGCCAATCTTAGTTTATTTCAAATTAAATAAATCTAAGCAATATATTTTGAAAAAACAGCTAAAACCATGGTTAAACTAGTAAATCAGTCAAATCGAAAACGATTCAGCCTAATCGGCTGAGTCAAAAGACCAACCAATCTATAACAAAATTAATTAATTAAAACATTTAAATTTTATTCATCTTGAACTGAAACATGCACAATACTATAATATTAAATAAGAATATAAGATCAACTTTATATAAGTGAAACAACTCAATTTTTATTTGTATTCTCAATGTGAGATTGTAATTATTTTAAAATTAAATATTATGAGAGTTTCAAAATCTCATAAGAAATTATTTTTAAAATCAAAACGTCTATGTAGGATTGTAAAATAAAAGTTAAATGGAAACTAACTAATAGAGAATTTTTTAATTGTTTAAAATTACAAAAAAATAAAAAATAAAAATTGGTATTGATTATAGAACTTCTCACTAAAAATCTTCTTTTGCTTATATAAATAAGAGTACAAGATTTACTTTATATAAATGAAACAATTCACTTTTTCATTTTTTTTTCCCGACGTTGGATTGTAAAATAAAAGTTAAATGGAAGCTAACCAATGGGGATTTTCTTAATTTTTTAAAATTAACAAATTTCAATAATTTATATAAATTAGAGCATAAGATTTATTTTATGTAAATGAAACAATTCACTTTTTCCTTTTTTTGGATTGTAAAATAAAAGGTAAATGGAAGATAGCAAATAAGAATTTTCTTAATTGTTTAAAATTAAGAAAATTCAATAATTTTAGAATGAGGTTTGAAGCTTTTAGAAGGCTTCTCTCTTATCCCTTTATAAGATTCATTTTATATAAGTGAAACAACTCACTTTTTTCTTTCTTTTTTCAATGTGGGGTTGTAACACTTTATACAAGTGAAATAACTCACTTTTTCTTTCTTTTCTCGATATGGGATTGTCATTATTTTAAAGTTAAATATTATGTGAGTTTCAAAATCTCATACAAAATTATTTTTAAAATCAAAACATCTATGTGGGATTGTAAAATAAAAGTTAAATGGAAACTAACCAATGGAGATTTTTTTTAATTGTTTAAAATTACGAAAATCAAAAAAACAAGTATGAGATATTGATTATAGAACTTTTCATTAAAAAACTCATTTTGCTTAAATGAATGGAAGCATAAGATTCACTTTTCGTAAGTGAAACAATTCACTTTTTCTTTGTTTTTCCGATGTGAGATTGTAAAATAAAAGGTAAATAGAAGCTAACCAACGAGAATTTTCTTAATTGTTTAAAATTAAGAAAATTTAATAATTTTGAAATAATGGTTCGGAGCTCCTAGAACAAATCAATCAAATCAAAAAATGATTTAGCCTAATCGACTATGTCATAATTAATTAATTAAAAATTTTAAAATTTAACCTATATTGAATTGAAACATGCATAACATTACAATATTAAGTGGGATGGGAGTATAAGATTCCATTTATATGAGTAAAACAACTCATTTTTTTTTTCTTATTATATCGATGTGGGATTATCAAATAAAAGCTAGTCAATGAAGATTTTCTTAATTTTTTAAAATTAAGAAAATCAAGAAAATTAGTATGAGATATTGAATCTCTCACAAGGCTCCTCACTAAAAACACCATTTTCCTTATATAATATATACTAGCTTATCACCCATGCTATGCACGGAATAATTATAGATATTCATATTTGTTTCAGATTTTTTTTAATATACAAATTATTTTTTTTAGATTTTTTATGAAAAATAATTTAACAATCTTATCACTAACCATAGTGTATAGGAGAAGTTGAAAATAGTGTTGGAGTAACTATGTACGAGTTGTATCTATAATTATTTGTATGAGGGAATTTTGACCAAAGCTCTCAAAAGACATGTGAAAAGGCATGTGGATTGGAAAAAATTAATAAATGTTAATCAGGGGATTTTGACCAAATCAATAAATACAGGCATGTAGAAAGGCATGTGGATTGAAAAAAGTTAATAAATATTGATTAGGGGATTTTGACCAATAAATGTTGAGATTTTTTTTTAAATAAAAAATTTTAAAAATTAAGATTGAGATATTGAAGCTCTCACAAGGTTTGGGAATTAGAAACCCCATTTTCCTTATATATAGATATAAATATAGATATAGATATAGATATAGATATAGACAGATTAGTTATTCCATAATATTAAAATAATTTAGATCATTAAATCATATTGAATATATATTATATACACAAGTAATACAATACAAAATTTTATTTTTTTCTTCTCACTCATAAATTGTAAAAACTACGATAGCAGCATTTCTCTTACATTATATAAATTATTTGTTTTGATATTATTAATGATTTTCTTTAAAAAAATTATAAATAGAGTCTAATTTTAATAAATTAATAATTTAGCTGGAAAAAAAAAAAAACTATGCAATTTGGGCAACTTAGGCAATTTAGGTTTAACTCCGGTCGATATTGAACAAACAATCTTGGATTACAATTCAGGCCTACTTAGGTCTCAACACAACTTGATCTGGATTTGAATAACCTTCCAATCTGACTGAACCCACCCGAATTACATCCCTAATTTTCATGCCACTAAGCTACAAGACTATGGATAGTTTTTAAGCTGCCTTGTTACTGTCTTTTTTTGGTCTTAGTTTTTTTAATCAACATTCATTTTTTTAGTAAAAAAAAAAAACTCATTTTATAATGGAGATGGACTGTTTTGTCTTATTCAAAAATTTCAGTTAACATCAATTTTATTTACTTTTTTGGAGAATTTCATTGAAAAAAATCTTTATAAAGTTCTTTTTTTTTTAAAATTAAATGTAGATTTTATAAAGCTTTTTATCACTAAAGCTAAAGCTTAGAGGTACGAAAATAGATCGTTAAAAGGAGACAATCATCTGGGATGGAAGAAAAGAGCCTGCGGCAATGGGGAGTCCGGATCCTCTCCAGCCAAAGCCTCCGGCCATTCCTCTTGTCAAGGGCCAAGATTTGGCCACATCAGCAGGGCTAGATCCTACGGCTCAGATCAAGTTTGGTTTTTTAAAAAAAAAATTGAATTTCTTTTCATTCAACCCAGAGCTTCCCTCGCATTCAGCTTCCCTCCCATTCACTTTTTCCCTCCCTCTTGAACAACGATCGACGGCAAATCGAAGTCGTTGGTTTTATCTGAATCTGAAGTCGACGATCGAGAGCAACTCTGTCTTAATTTGAAGATTTTAGCCCTCTGTCTTAATTCGAAAATTTCAGTCGCGATTTCATCCGTTGGTGCCTCCCTCTCTCCCTCTGTCTTACTCCAAAAATTTCAGCCGTGAACTAGAGCTCTAACGACCCCGCGAACCAGAGCCCTGATCTGCACTTCATCAAACTTAAGGTAATGTGTTTTTTTCCCCAAATAATCTGCCATTTGCAAAGTTGCTCCCATTTAATCTGATTTTTCCCACGAACCAGAGTTGCTCCCATTTCATATATATATATATATATATAGTCTAATCTATAATGTATTGTTCTACTGTTTTGTAAAGGGAATGATAGTTCATTGTTTTGTCCTCAATGTTTTTCTTAACCTGAAATACATTGAGAAAATTAGTGTTGAATGAGAGCAAATTGTGGCATTTGTATATTAACCAATCACATGAAGAGAATTTCTTCTTAGCAGAATGGAATGTCAGACATAGTGAGAATGAGTACAACATAGTTAATGGTTTACCAGAAGGCATTAGCAGATTTATTACTTCATTATTTTATGATGTTTGATCTGCTATGACAAAGATGCATATTTTATTGTAAGCATCAGATGAGTAATATATATCATAATAGCACACTATCAAACACACCTCAGAGCACACACATGAAGAGCTTAATGACTAGTTAGAGGTCCATGAACATAGTTAATGGTTTACCAGAAGGCATTAGCTCCACATTGTAAAATGAAATAAAAAAAACTTGTAATTTTATTTTTAAAAAAAATAAACATTAAAGTGACCTGTTCAAGTGCCCAGACCAGAGAACACAGTGATTGAATTTGTGCGCTAAAATGTTGTTTTCATGCTGATTTTGTGCTACTAAAATGCTGTTTTTGGTATTGAATTTGTGCTATTAAGCTGCTGTATTTTGGTCATTTTTTTGTGCTGAAATACAGTTTTGGTGCTGATTTTGTGCTGCTAAAATACTATTTTGGTGCTGAATTTTTGCTATTTTTTTTAAAAAAAAATTCAGGGTTTGGATGGCCATGAAGAGGCGGAAGGCACTTCAAATTTCATGCATAGGAAATGCCTCTGATGTACAACAGCAACACACCATCTATTATGTTTTTGTAGTGAAGCTTCATAGCAGCAACACAAAATTGTCCTATTGGCTCACAATGCATCTATTATGTTTTTGTAGTGAAGCTTCACAACAATAGTAAAGTTTATTGTTTGCTATAGTTAGAATTAATTGAGATGAGATTTGAAGAATGGTGAAACTAATCTCTCCTTTTTTTCTATGACTATTATGAATGAATTTTAATTAGCAGAATGTGGAGTTAATTGGGTTGAAGCCTGGTTCTTTGGAGTTCAAGTTAGTTGTTGTTGTATGGTATTTAACATTGATGTTGCACAAAACTTTTTGAAGTATTTAACATGGCAGGTCACTTTTTGAAGTATTTAACATGTTGCATCATATCATTGGAATTATAAGGGTTTGTTTTTGTTTTGTTTGGAATTACAAGGTCACATGCAGGTCACTTTTCACAACCCTTAAACAAATAAATCATTTAGTATGCAGTGCAATTCTTCTTATTTGAGGCAAGGTCACAAGCCATTACATTCAACTCTTAAGCAAATAAATCATTGCCACTTCATCAAACAAAAAAAGCCATTACATTCATTACCACTTCAACAAAATGATAGTGGTCCACCATACATTACATACACATTCAACCTACAATACAAGTCATACTCATTCTACCCTACATTACATACACTATTACAAATACACTAGAATGACAGCTACCACCAACAACAGAACAAAAAAAGTAAAGCCGTAATTCAATTTTTCACCAACTCTTTCAATCACCATTGCCAAATCTCTATATTGTTTTCTACTCTTCATAGTCAATGTCTTTGAGCTCTCTATTCAAGATAATTACTTCTCTAAGAGTGGACAAGACTTCCATGCGTTCTTCAAGACTATCATTCTCAACCACATCGACAATTGCGGTTGTCGAATCTAACTTCATGAATGTTGCCCATACTTGCATTTGTGCTTGACATTGACATTGACCAACAAAAAAAATATCAAATAGCAAAGCACATCAAGACATCTCTTAGGAAAATTTGTTTACAATTTGGCTTATCTTTAGTTTAGATACCAATCAAAAGGAGTAATATTTGCCTCATGAAATAATCTGTTAAAACAAAGGCACAAGTAAAATACGATACAAGGCACACAAGGCAAACTCCACAAAAACAGAGAGAACCCCATTAACCTAATGAATTCTTAATCTCTCACTTGGCCTAATTTTGAATCATAATACTGGATCATTGATGTTAGGACATAAATTCATATTTGTATGTCAACTAGGTTTTCAAGTATAGTTTCAAATCAGCAATTCAATGAGAGAATATTGAAATTAGATTCAAACAATCACAAATTAAGTCATCAATCAAAATGATATTAAAAAAAAAATTAACAAAGAAATCAAACAAGACATGCCTTGAACTTGGCTTATTATATACAATACAAACACAGTTAAAAACTCTAATAATAAATGCACAATATACACATTTATTTAAACATAATAACATATAATTAAAATAAAAAAATCCAACTGCAAACTCCACAAAAACAGAGAGAACCCATTAAGCTAATGAATTCCCAATCTCTCACTTGGCCTAATTTTGAATCATAATACCGGATCATTGATGTTAGGACATAAATTCATATTTGTATGTCAACTAGGTTCACAAATTAAGTCATCAATCAAAATGATATTTAAAAAAAAAATATTTTAAAAAGAAATCAAAGAAGACATGCCTTGAACTTGGCTTGCTTTAGAATTGGGGCATCGCAGTGGCTCTTAGATAAACAACCATTTTAATCCCAGCAAAACTATACAACTCACAAGAGAACATGTATAGATTTTTTTCTCATTCATGGACTTCATAAGTGCAAAACACCCAAAAGATTTCCTTCATCTCAGCTTTTTTCGATTTCACTAAACATTTCAACCTAAAATGGTGGTCTCTCCATCTCAGATTTCCTTCATCTCGGGTGAACGCGGGGAAAGGGACAAGATGGAGTCGAGCAACAGATTATTTGGGGGAAAAAAAAAATAAATCTTTAACTATGGTTCGCGGCTCCAATTGCGGCTCAAATCGCAGTCCAAATCTTCAAAGTAAGACAGAGGGAGAGAGGGAGAGCCCACCGATGTTCACCGCCAACTTGGATTCGTCGTCGTCAGTGTCACGAGATGGCGTCGCGCATTCACCAAAGCTGAAGAGGGAGGGAAAAAAGTGAATCGAAATGAAGTTTGCAGCTATGTTGAATGAAAAGAAATTCAATTTTTTTTTTATTTTATATTTTTAAAACCAAACTTGATTTGAGCCATAGGATCCAGCCCTGATGACGTGGCCAAATCCTGGCCCTTGACAGGAGGAATGGCCAGAGGCTTTGGCTGGAGAGGATCTGGACTCGGCAATGGGAGGGAAAGGAAGATGGTCTCAGCCCTGAACTGATTACCAAGCCCGGAAAAAAAAAATGGGCCTGAGCCCATCTTAAATTACCTTTCCTATCTAATATTTTTCATTTTGTAATAACATTTGAAAAAAAGAAAAGGAACAAGAAGAAGAAGAAGAAGAATTATTTGATAAGTGGTTATTTTAATGACTTTTTGGATAAAATATGAAGTAAAAAAATTAATATATTTGAAAATTTTTAACTTTTTATGAAAAAATGTGCAAAAAATAGAATGAATGAGAATAAATCTTTGACTTTTTGTATGAGTTAAAAAAAATTAGCTATTTAAATTTTTAGTGACATTTTTTTATTATTTTGATTGAAATTTTAACTTTTCAAACAAGACCTAAGTGCACAGAAACCTATCAAAGAAGAATATTTACAATGAGTGTCACAGAATTCACCCATCGTGAAGGTTTTGCGATTGATTCTATACATGTAAAAGTGTATATAAAATTAACCATAAAATATAAAACCCATTATACATAAATGAATTGCCCATATTAAATGTAATGGTGACACCACCGGCTAATAAAAAGTTACAAAGGCATTAAGTGTCAATCATAGTCTCCTATTAACCCAACAATATTGTGGTTCTTACTGCAAATCAACAATACTTATTGAATAGTAATCCATTACGTGGTATCACCATTTCATTTAATATTTCCTCCTGAAAAAGTTACTAAAACATGAGTTTTTGATCGAAAATCAAAGAAAGCAAAATAGAATGTGATTTTGAAAAGAGGGAGGAGAGAGAGAAAGAGAGAGAGAGATTCTTGGGCCTATAGTTATGGTTTGGTGGCCCGACCCGTTTGAAGCCTTAAACCGGTTGAACATAAATTGGCTAAAGTCTAAAGAATTAGTGGGCTAGGCCCTTATAGGTGAGTGGATCATGGGCTCTAACCAAAACCAATTTTGACATATGGCACGCGTGTTGTAATGCCGGTCGGGGTGTGGCCCAAGTCAATTTTTTGTAATCTCAATTTTTTATATTATAAAATTGGTGGAGTATATTATTTATTAAAAAAAAAAAAGATTAATTGGACATAGTAATCTCATGATCAGTCTTAATTATTTTTTAAAAAATTATCAAAATTATACCCACCGTTTATTTATTTTTAAAACAAAGAGCGAATTACGTAAATAGTCTCTGTAGTTTGGGACTTGTGTCAGAAGGACAAACAAAGATGTTAGCTTTGCAAACGGTCTATTTCAATAGCAAAATCGTCATATAACTTATTTTGTGTTGGTTAACATGTATGTTATTTGAAATGTGATGGCCTTTTTTTTTAATGAATAATATTAGAACTTTCTTGGTTATAAAGTTATTTTTTATTTGATTTTTAGAATTTATTTTCAAAAAAAATTTCTAAGAAACTAAAAATTAAATTGGTAAAAAAATAAATTAATTAAAACACGCCATTTTTATATAATTTTATCTTTTGAAAGGGTAGAAATAATTTTTGAAAATATTTTTTTATATATTTATTTTCGGTAAATTAATTTCTATTTTTTCAAAAATTAAACACGGCGACAAATTTGATTTTATTATTAAACCAATCCATTAAATCAAAAAATCCAAAACAAAATATATTTAATATATTAAATATATCGATTACACATTAAAAGTCTAATAACCATCCATTATATGATAACCATTCAAAAATATTTGTTAACAACAAATACAACCATCTATTATATGATAATCATCCAAAACATCAACAAAAACAACCACTCATTACATGATCATCATTTAAACACATACTAAAAATTAATTTGACAAAAAAATTAAAAAAAATAAAACTGCAAAAGATTTATCATTTTTATATAATTTTATCGTTGGTGGATAGAAATAATTATTTAAAATTAAAAAATATTTTTTTAACATTTATTTTTATCAAATTTGTTTATATTTTATCAAATTGATAACTTTACCTTTAAAATGGGATAATAATATCTTCAATTATCTTTATTTGAAATATAATTCAAAAATTAAGATTAAATATATTATAATTAAAAAATTAAATATCAAAATAATATAAATATTAAATTATAAAAACGATTAGTGTAATTCACTTTTATTTTTAATATAAATTTACTTTACACGTTCTTTTAAAACATTGAGCAATGAATTTCGATATCATTTTTATTAGTTTACCAAGCTGTTCAGCTTGTAGCAGTCTTTTAAGACATTATAAATTTATACAATCAATGACTATTCCATGTTTGTTATTTATTGATTTTCAAATCAATCACTTAAAATCTCCCCACTCTGTCACATCATAAAAAAATAAATAAATAAAAAATCTTCAAGGATAGCCTATGAGCTCATCTATAATTTTGGTATTGATAAAATGAGATGGATACCAAAAACAAAGAGGAGAAGAACACCGTTTAGCGAAAGTGCAAATAATAAAGATAATAAGTAACTTTTGAGGGATATATTTTTTGCAAGAAACTTCTACTAAGTAAGCACAGACAATTTATAGACAAGTCAAAGTCAACTTAATTGCAATTATCAAAAGACAGGAAAGGGACAAAAAAGTGGCCCCAGGGGGATTGGGAGAAGCAAGGCTTATTCATTGTGTCGCGCTACAGGCCTCGAATATTGAGGTACAAATTTATCTCGAATTTATTTAACCGGTCGTCTGACCGGTCATCCAGCCGGTCATCCGGCAAAGAAGCTAACAGCCGCAGTCGACAATGTGACAACCGCGACAGACAAGTGTTTCACTCG